AGTAAAGTAGAAGGAGAGAGAGAAAGAGATAGAAAGAGATGATAGAGAGAGAGAGAGAGAGAGAGGAGGGGGGATAGTGAACACAGAAGAGAGCGAGAGAGAGAGAAGGAGGGAAGTAGTGTAAGAAGAGGGAGAGAGAGAGAGAGAGAGAGAGAAGGGGGTTAATGAGAACAGAAGATAGATAGATAGAGAGAGAGAGAGAGAGAGAGAGAGAGAGAGAGAGAGAGAGTGAGAGAGAAAGAAGGGGAGAGAGAGGACAGGGAGAGAGAGTCAAGAGAGGGAGAGGAGAAGAGAGGGGAGGTACAGGGAGGAAAAGGAGAAGAAAATGAGAGATCAGAGAGAAGAAGGTAAAGTAGGAGAAAGAAAGAGAGAAAGTAAAGTAGGACGAGAGAGAGAAGAAGAGAAAAAGAAAGAGGAGGAGAAACAGAAGAGAGAGAGAGGAGGAAAGAGAGAAGGGGAGTAGAGAGAAGTAGAGGAAGAAAAGTAGGAGGGGAGAGAGAGTAAAGAGAGGGAGAGGAGGACAGAGACAGGGGAAGGAGAGAGGAAGGAGAGAGATTAGAGGAGAAAGAGAAAAAATTTAGAGAGAGAGAGAGAGAGAGAGGGGAGAGAAAGAGAGATCAGAGGAGAACGAGTAAAGTAGGAGGAGAGAGAGAGGGAGAGGAGAAGGAGGGGGAGATAAGAGGAGAGAGAGAAGGTAAAGTAGGAGGAGAGAGTAAAGAGGGAGAAGAGAAGGAGGGGGAGATGAGAGAGAGAAGGTAGGAGAAAGTAGGAGGAGAGAGAGACAGAGAGAAGAGGAAGAAGTCTTGTGCTGCTGTTGGTTTTTGCACACTCAGGTCATGGAGACCCCAAACCCACCCGGAGCTTTGACATGACCCCCACACTCCCTCTGCACGGGTGAGTCACCGCACCGACCCACACATTCACTCTCTACTTCCTCCTGTCCTTTTCAAACTGTCCTTTTCCCTTATTTTGCATCTGTGCTGGTTATTAGAGACACGCCCCCTTTTCTATACGTTCCATAGGAGACTGGACTCTGTGTTCTAGAAGACTCTGCAGGAGAGAAGTGAACACAGCAGCAGATCAATCACCTGCATTACACAAAACAGACTCTTTAATCATCTTCTCAAGCTGTTTCCTCTTCCAAAACACACCTGGAGTTGTGTTTTGTTTCATTCACACATGTTTGAGTAACTTAGTCTGTCATAAATCTACATCTCCAAAGCTCAAAACGCTCTGTTCCACCTCGTGATGTCATGAAGTGGTAGTTTTAAAGTGAACAGCTCCTTCCATTTTATCGTTTTTAGTTGAGCAGTGATTGGAAATTCCAGGGTTGAAATGATCCAAATAATTCTAGTGAAGGTGAGTGGAGTTAAAAAAAAAAAAAAGCAATGGAGCACTTCCTGTGTTACAACATGACATCATGAAGTGGAACAGAGTTTGAGAGAAGAACTCAGCCTAAATGTGCAACAAACAAAACACAACTGCAGGTCTTTGTAATCTGTTTGTAATGATTAAACAATATTATAATATAGATCAGAAAATGTGATATATGAAAACTTTAAGAGTAAGATTCTGTTTAAAGTTTCACGTTTAAAACTTGTCCAGAAGAATTTTCGAAAAAAAAACTGAAATCTGACTTGACAAACAAATACAAAAATCACATTTCAGAACATGTTTGTGCAGATCTAAACTTTAGGAGGAGCCGTTTTTAAGCAGAAAAAGATCCGAGATTTTGTGTTTTTTGAGGAAGAAATTAAAGTACTTCCAAATTTGCAGCGCTGATTTGTGATTTCACTGATTTGAATTCATGTCAGTTCAAACTGTGATTTCGATTCAGTTGCAGCTTGATCTGTTTTTATAGAGTACTTGTATATGTCAACATTTCCCACTGATATTACTTCTAATTCGTGTTTTATTCACATTATGATCAACACATACACTATAATGTTTAATAAGCGTTAACAATGAAACAAAACTCCAAGAATGTTTTTGACGAGGAAACGAAACCCCCCAAACCCTGAAAAGTGAGTGTGGGCCTGTAACATCATCTTTTACACAATGATGTCAGTGTTTAGTTGTGATCTGCTCGGCTCTGATGGAGCTCTGTTGTGTTTCTCAGCTGGACATTGTCGGTTTGTGGCTCAGATTCTGAAGTTAAACTTCTCCAGATGTTTCGAAATGAGGAGCAGAGTGACAAATAAAACTGCGACCATTTGCTCCAGAGAGGAAATGCACCGTCATGGTACACAAGATGTACTACCATGCAAATACTACACTAATACTACAATTACTACTCCAAATAGAGCCTGGACTGGGAGGATTGAGTCATTGTAATTCACATTGATGGAGTTCAGAGCTTTGAATTAATTTGAAGATAAGGAACGCTCAGTGTTAAACATCAGAAGCAGAGACCCATCTCCAGATCTTGAGCAAGTCTTGTTCAGGAGGACGAGGAGGATTTGAGCTGTTGTGCGGGTTTAAGGGAGTCAAACTCCAAACCTTTGGCTGTGTTAGTCTCTGTGCCACCTAGGGTCAGATATAGACTTGGTTTGGTCTGTTATATTCCACATTTAGTTCCAATTTGGTCCCAAGTTTAATCAAGAAGGATTCTCGTTATTTCTGTGAGTTCACAAACTAACAAGGATCCATCCTGGCGTTGACCTGACAGTGCCGCTGTACAGTTAAGTGGGTGGGCCCACCAATCACATCGCAGCATTGAGGTCTGTGCAGAAACCAAAGGTGAAGCACCCAAACAAACCAAAACAAACACAGTGACACTGACAGTGTGCAGAAGGTGAGCGCTTTGTGCATTTGTGGACAGAGAAAATGTCTATACTTTAACAAAAGTTAGATTTTTTTGTCTTGTTCCACTGTTGTGACACTTCGACCAATCAGTCGTCATGATGCTCCGCCTTCTCTGATCTCTTTCAGGGAGAGTCATTGCAGACTGATAAAATGTAGAACTTAATTCAGAGTGACACACTGGTGGTTCGTCCTGGTGACATCCAGGTTAAAGTTAAATGAGGTGTGTGCAAATGTAACACAATAAATGTTTCTAACTAGAGATCGACCGATTTGAGTTTTTTCATGGCCGATGCCAATACCAGTTGTTTAAAATACAGGAAATGGCAGATAAATCAATATTTTAGAGCCGATATGAAGGGGTGATTTAGGATATTGTCCCAAAACTATACAGTTTGAATTTCCTACAAACTCAACCACAACCATGTGTTACTACAAACTGATAAGACAGTAGTGTACTTATATTTCTGTAAACCCTTTTAAACTAACGTGTTTATTTTATTTTTATTTTTTATTTATTTATTTCAGACAGGGACAGCACACAATTTTTGCATTTTACCTTAACAGGAGAGATGCATTGTACATCAGGTTGTAGCATCAGTGCTAATTTCCACCTGTCGTCCCTGGACAGGTTCACTGATTGATTGTATTTAACTGACCTTGACTATCAACTGTTCATGGAGACCTGTAGCATGTTTTGGGTTGAAATAACACTTTATGCACACCCCAGTAACAGCTTGGACTCAAGTGTTTTAATTTCTCAAAAATCTTTGATAATCTTGGACTCGTGCAGGATGACCAACCCTCCAGCAGACGCACTGAGAGTTAGGGCGTGTGCAGTTACAGTATAAGAGACACTCTCAAAACTCTCCCAAAGGAATCTGCAGATAAAACACTGAACCTTCCCCTGGTTCAGTGGGAGGGAGAGTAAAAGGATATTGAAAAGAGAAGTGTGCCACATGTTTCACATCTGTGTGAGTCTGGACTCTGCTGCACAGGCCTTTCAAAAGGATAAAACTGTCACATAGTGTTAATGTAATAGTGTAATCTCTTTACTTTACAGATGTAGAAGCTGACCTGAGAGATGGCTCTGCTGAGGAAAAGTGAGTATCAACAAGTGTAACTCATTTTCATTGTTCACATTATACTGTTTACTATCACATTACACCTATCAACATGTAATTCACTTATATTATACCTAATAAAACTGTAATTCACTTATATTCTGGTGTTTGTCTGGAGTCAGGATATGTGCTGTCGAATCTTATAGTAAAACCAGAGAAAACCAAAAGGAAGAAATTTTCCTGGGTAATTTAATTAAATTTTATTGGAGAGAAGAGTAGATTTATTTATTAATTTGGGATCAGTAAAATATTTATCTATCTGATTTGCTGGAACAGTGCAGTCAGACACAGTTACAAAACAATGACTGAAGTTCCGTCTCTGGTTGAGCTTTTCTACACTGTGCAAAGCTCCATATTCAGAGCTCATTCTTTCACTCTCACAGTTTTCAGCCAACATTTAACATTTTAAACTCACAAACTGACTTACTTTCAGTGGGTCGTATATAAGAATCCACTTTACAACGAGTCAGATCTTATTTTTGCAAGCACACAGTTTAACCACTGTGATTAAAGAGTGCAGGCCCTAAGATGAACCCCTGTGGCTCACCGCTTTGATGTTGGCACACAGCTCAGTGTCTAGTCTTCTCATTTAACCAGCACATTTTCATTTTCCTGTCATCAGTCCGAGCGTTCATGGTCCTGGAGTTCATAGGAGTTTGATTTTCAACAAAAAGCTAAGAGTGACTAACTGAAAAAGTCGTGTAAGTCTATGTTCACACTGCAGCCTGAAGTGACCTAAATCTGATTTTTTGGCCCTTATGCTCCTGTATCTGATCTTTTAATGACAGTCTGAATGACACAGATCCGATTTTTTCAAATGTAACCCAGGACACTTGGATATGTGCTCCTGAAACTGATACATATCTGATCTTTTGACATGCGACTTCAGTCTGAACGGCCAAAGTGCATTCATCCACCTACATGTTATCACACGGTGGACTTGGCCATGCCAAAGAGGTTGGCTATTGTGCGGTAATAAGCACCTGTTGCAAGCCAAAACAGCCCAATGCCAACGCATTTGCTCACAGAAACAAGCCACTGAAGATGTGTTTCCTCCGGCGAGAGTGGCACAAGTAGGCACTCACAAATGTACACAAATGTTCTTCTTCATATTAAAATTGTTAATGAACTCCGTGTCACTGAAGCGAAGCACATCGCTATCCCACCAATCTTGGCTACGTCTCACGCCCACACGTTCCTTTCAGTGGACTGTCCCACAAAACACCACAGCCAAAAACCTCGTCCTTCTCCTTCTCAATCTCCTCCTTAAAACAAGTAAGTTGTTCATGTTTTGGCTGCGGTACGAGAGGAACTTTAAAATCTCCAGGTGCTCGATGCTGCGTCCACGTTTGGACAACTTCTGTAAACACAGAGCACGCTCGCTGCGGTTGACGTCGTCGTGTTTCCAGTGCACATGTGGGACACTTTTGGGTCGTTTAATGTTCACACTGGAGTCACATACAAGTCACATTTAACTGGAAATGTGAATGACCTCGCAAAAACATTGGATTTCACATACATAAAAATCTGAAGCCGTCTGAAGCAGTCTGAACGTAGTCTAAGAGACTTCTTTAACAGCTCAAATCAGCTCACCTGTTCCAGCTTCCAAATCAGTTCAGCTCTTTCTGGTCAGATTGTGTTAAAATAAAACTCAGATTAAAGTGTAACTTGAAGAGCAGCTTCAGACAGAGCAGTGCCAACAGATGATTATATTGTGCTTTTCTGGACACACATATTAAAACAGTCAAAAAAGCAATAAACAAATAATAGAGTAAAGATAAAAACTATGAATCATGTTAACAAAAACAAACTTAAAAGCTTTTCTAAGTCGATTGGTCTTGACATTTTTTGATGACATCGGCTGCAAAGGATCAATAAAAGGCCTCTGCCCTCATCTGAAATTACAGTATAATCAGATTCGAGAACTTGAGTTGTGTAATTGTCATTGTGTAAGAATCTGAAGATCTGTTCCACGTTTTCTCAGGATGTTTGCGTGAGCGCCGTGGAGGAGGGAGGGATAATGAGGAAAACATTTAGCCACTGTGAGATGTGAGGGTCAAATGGCAGGACTTTACAACCAAATAAACTGCTGTGTCTGGGTTTAACAGCTGACAGTATGGCCAACTCTGCAGCTTACCTGGAAAACACAATCTAACGTTTAAGGACCGATATACTATTTTCTGATTTATGTTATAATATAGTTTATAGGGGTGTCAAATTATCGTTAATTGTGATTAATTAATTACAGTCATATTTAGCGTGTTATGTTTTTTAATCGTGTTAATCTCATTTTTAATCTCTAATTTTACTGTTTCTGTATGCGGTTGCCTTATTATAAAATCTGTATTTATGTGTTGTTGGGATTGAATTTTCATTTTCATTCTCGTTCTCACCTGCGATAAACCTGTGATCTTTGAAAACATCGCGACACAGACACAGAACAGACTCAGATCAACATCCCTTTGTCACAGAGAGAACACTCATATTCCACTGAGTCATGTCCTTTAGTCCCACAAAAGCTGAACTACATCAGCGCACAAGAGCATTTTTTTGTTTTTGTCTTCACTTAGTTTATGCAAATGAGCCATGTGGTTTTAAGTTTTGTTTCTGTGAGACTTGCGTAAAGCTGCATTAAACACATTCTCATGTCAAACACGCTGATGTGGCTCTAGAGTGGTGATGTTTATATGTTGTAAAGTTGAGTTTATCTATGCAGATTAGTAATAGTAATAATAATGATGATACTGTGGAATGTAAGTGACTGCATCTATTAAAGTTTGTTAAACAATAAATGACTTTATAAAGTCACTTTTTTTGTTCTATATCAGTCTTTTGATCTGCCACAATAATATAATAATGAATTTAAATGAAAATACCTCAAGTTGAGGCTTTTCTCAGCAATTTTTAGGTGTGATTAAAATAAGATTAATTAGATTAATTAATTACAGATAATAAATAATTACTCTCTCAGTTTTTTTAATCACTTGACAGCACTAATTGTTCCACATGTCTCATCACAAACACACCTAGAGTTGTGCTTTTTTTCATTTACACAAACCCTGCAGATTTAGGCTGAGTTCTTCTCTTGAACAGAAAATACTCCAGAAACCTTCACTAGAATCATTTGGATCATTTCAGACCTTAACTAAAGGTATAAGGAGCTATTCACTTGAAAATTACAGCTTCATGACATCACAGGGTGGGATGGATCATTTTGAGCTTTGGAGATGTAGATAGACTACTGTATTTTCTGCATTAGTCACTCTGGATTATGGTTATTATAATAATTATTAAATGGTCTATTTTCAAACTTTTTTCACAAATAAACTGCACTGGACTTTAAATGAAACCCAACAGTGTGATGGGTGAGTGGTTTTGTTTGTTTGTGGCGTTCACGGTGACTCTGGGCTTTGTTCAGTTGTGGCGTGTAGGGAGGGTGCTGTCTGGGACCAACGGATTGTCGGCGTGTTCGCAGTGACTCAGTTGTTCAGTTGTGTCTAGAAGTGGCACATTGCACTCGCTTTTTCAGTTTGTTCCTCCGTTCCGTTCCTCGTCGGTGTGGAGTGATGAGTGTGTCTGTGGGTGTGTTTGGTTGTGTGGTTGCTGTCTGCTCCGTGTGTGTTTGTGTGTTCTGCGGGTGGTGCGGCTTTGTAGTTTACTGAAGTCGTGCTGGGACACCTGAGTGGATTCATGTATAAGGCGCTCTGGATTGATTTTTGATGCGGTTAAAGGCTTAAGAGCACATCTAATAGCCCGGAAAATACGGTAATAATAAAGAGTTACTCAAACATGTGTGAGTGAAACAAAACACAACATTATAACATGATCTGGAGTTGTGTTTTGTCTCATTCATATGTTTGAGTAACAATTTATTATTAGTCTCTCTATATTTCCAAAACCTTTATCTTTAGTTGAGTAGATATTGACAATTCAGGGCTGAAATGATCCAGATGATTGTAATGAAAGTGTGTGAGGATGTGATAACATTATAACATGGTTAAAAATCCACAAAAACATGAAAATCTGTCATATGCCCTTTAATTAGCTCACTGCATCTGCTTGTTGTTGTAGAAGTTGTATTGACTCCATGTTGTTGTTCAGTAAACAGGCTGCTGGTGGCGCTGTTGCTGCTCATGCTGTGTCTCCTGCTGCACTCAGCTCTGCTCAGAGGAAACTCCATTCACACACACACAGGTACTTCTATAAACAGGGAATGTTCCACAGTATGATATAAAACACCGAACATCATGGAGGCAAGCAGATGATGCCATCAGACCAGTGAGCCAAGTCAGATCTGTGCAGAGGCGCCCCACTCACTGTAAGAATTTGCGTTTTTCAAAGGCGAAAAAAATGTTTGCCTAAGATCCAGAACACATAGTTTTTTAATACTAGAAAGATGTGAGTCTGGTCACTCGTGAATCTCCTTGAGTTCTGATGGGTGTGATTGACAGGTGGATCAGCCAATCAGGGGCACACATGGCCTGACTGCTTATGAGAAAAAAAAAAAGATTTCTGTAAAATCAATGAGTGAAGCACTAAACTTTTCATCTGAGGAGAGAAAAATGTGATTTTGTTCAAAATGATGGTGACCAATGAGCTCCTCTTTTCACATGTGTCACTGAAATAAACAAATCTGATTGGATTCATGTTTGGTTCTGAATTGAGGTGCGACAGAGCGGATGGAGACCAGACTGATAAATAAAAACACAGAGATATATAAGTTTAATGCCATGCAGTGGAACATTCCAGGGAAAGCAATAACATCTCAATAGCATGGAGATAAGTGAACATCCACCTGGAAAGTTACGTGGTGTAGCTTTAAAACAGGTCTGAAAGTTGTGTTTCTTGTACTCTTTAATGACTTGTCTCCTGTCCTCCTCAGGCCCACACAGGAGCCATGACCCTGTTCTCCGTTCAAACACGGTGATCCCGGTGCTCGTCTGTGCCTCGGAGGAGAGGCTGGGCGCTGCCATGGCAACCATCAACAGTATCCAAAGCAACACAGAAGCTGACGTCTTTTTCTACATCGTCACTCTGCACGACGCCGTCAAACTCACGAGGTATGGAGTCTGCGTTTGTTTTAAATTTTAGTTTTAGCTTTTAAGAAAAACCACAACTTTTACTTAAGTAAGAATACTGTTACTTCAATACTAATATTACTCAAGAATATCCTGCAAGAAAACTACTCTTAAAAGTTCAATTTCCTTAAAAAGTGACTTAAGTAAATGTAACAGTACTACTCACGTCTGGTGTCTGTGTGTCTGTACTGAAAAGAATTTGCCTTTGGGGATGATCACAGATTGTGACTCTGATAAAAAACACATCTGAAGTTGTTTCAGTCACAGTCCGTCTTACAGGGCCGTACGATGGCAAAGGGGTTAAGGCTCTCACCTCACAACATGAAGCTCCTGGGATTGATTCTGGGGCAGGGCCTTGATTTGTGGAGTTTGCATGTTCTTTCTGTGCCTGTGTTTCCTCCAGATGCTCTGGATTCCCCCAACACTAAAACATATGTGTATATAAAGTAAAGCATCTCAGTGGGACTATCCTGGTTAAATAAAGGTCGATAAAATTAAATCTTTGGCTGTGTTGTCAGTCTGTAGTCTGACATGAGTAACAGAGCTTCAGACAGAGCAGTGCCTCCAGTTAGCACCACATTCTCAGGGAATATTGATGACGTCAGCTGTGAAGTATCTACTGTCCCACAACTGTCCCCTTCTTCACAGACACTACATAGAGAAGACTAAACTGAGGAAGATCAAGTATAAGATTCTGGAGTTTAACCCGATGGTGCTCAAAGGGAAAGTGAAACCAGACTCCGCCCGACCCGAGCTGCTGCACCCGGTCAGACCCGACACACAGGTCACAGGTCAGATGTGTGTGCGTCATTATAACGTGTAATTTGTTTATAGCTGAACTTTGTGCGCTTCTACCTCCCCCTGCTGGACATCCACCACAAAAGACTCATCTACATGGACGACGATGTCATTGTTCAAGGTATTGCACACACAGACATTCTAATGAGCTGCAAGTTGCCATGATGTGTCAGTTATGTAATGTCAACTATTACAACTATGACATGTGTCTGAGATACTGCAGAGGGGAAGAGTAGTCAAAACTGCACTCACTCAAATACCTTTACTTTAAAAGAAGATTACTCAAATAAGAAAACTACTGTTGAAGTAAATAAATGTAACTGCAAGAACAAAACATTAAATACATAAGGCACATAATCTGGTATTTTCTGAAGGAGCAGTTCAAGAAACACAAACGTTCAAATCATTTCATATTGTCAACATGAAGCTTTTGTCACTTTTAGACTTAGAAGAGAAATAAAAACTTTTACTCCAGTAAGAGCCCTGTTACACTGTACAATATGTTACTCAAGTAGGAGTTAAAGTATAGAGACTGAAAACTACTTTGAGAATGGTTACATTTTTATACAGCACTTTTCCACCTTCAAGGCTCAAAGTACTTACACCCACACACACTCACACACCAGTGTACACAGACACTGGGAGTGAGCTGTTTTTGTTTTTTCATCAAATGTATTGCATATCTACATTATACATTATATCTACACATACATATACATTACATACAATTATTATAAACAAATAATTCTAATCTTACAGTAAAAAAAAAAACAGGTAAATAATATACTCAAAGATTACGAGACATAGGGGCAGGAAATGATTCAGACTGATCTTTTCAGTAACATGTAGTTAAGGGGTTTATTTGGGAGATTTTCTAATAATTTAAAATTATATTTTCGATTGCATTTGAATTGAAAGATATTACAATCAGTATTGTGTGTGTGTGTGTGTGTGTGTGTGTGTGTGTGTGTGTGTGTGTGTGTGTGTGTGTGTGTGTGTGTGTGTGTGTGTGTGTGTGTGTGTGTGTGTAAGTGTGTGTGTGTGTGTGTACTTGCCCTCACACAAATCTGTTCTATGTATTTTCCAGGAGACATCAGAAGTTTGTTCAGTGTAAAACTCAAACCTGGACACGCTGCAGCCTTCGCCTCCGACTGTGACCTGCCCTACTCCCACGAGAGGGTCCGCAGCATCGGCATGCAGGTACAACATAGAGTTAAAGCTCCACTGTGGAACTTTTCTGTTAGAGGGTCCATAGCATCGGCATGCAGCTACCACATTGAGTTAAAGCTCTTGGGACCACGGGCTCCTGAGGCAAGACCAAGAACCAAGGCAAACCTCAGCCACATGTGGCTGTAGATCTGCTCTGAGCCCCAGTTGTGCTTTGTGCAACACTGTAACCTAAATTTAGGTTAGTTTTTGCTAGAGTGCAATAAAAACGGTGAGGAGTGGCACGCTGACATGAGGCAGATGAACAGGTTGGATGTTTTAAAAGGTTGAACCTGTCCTGTGATACACGCTGGTACACGAGGACAGACACTCTAGGGGACAAACTCCTCACTGGGGGCATGTGTTTTCTCCAGACGCGCGCACAGGCTGCAGTGAGACGCCCCTCGCTCCCGCACATCAGTATAAGTTTATTGGCAAGAATTGTGGCCGTAATGAAATATGATCACACTCATCGAGAGTCAGACCTCGAGTGAGAGACAAGACTGGTCTGGAGTACTATGACATTAGAGCAAAGGATACACTCAACTTGATTTGTGTGTTACCTGCTGGTGGGGCAGGTGAGGAGGTGTGTGTAGTTCTACACTCAAAGAGCTTGAATACCTGATCTTTACTCCACTGCTGTGCTGCTGCAGCGTTCCTCAGTTTGTGTGCACTCTGCACATTCATGTTGACAAAAGAGGAGAGTGAGGTGTGTGTGAGGGGGGCATATCAGGACATTATTATCACACGCTTTTAATCACCCAGCATTTCTACATGAACATGTCAACATGGACCACAGTACACTGTGGAAAAAAAAAAACTTCTGTGCACGCCATTGAAATTATGATATTCCAGATTGACGTTAACCCTTTTATATTTGTTTACTGATTTCTTCTTTCTTCTTGTGCCCTCAGACAACATACATGGGTTTCCTTGACTACAGGAAACAGGAAGTGAGAGATCTGGGCATCGACCCAAACGAGTGCACCTTCAACCCCGGAGTGTTCGTGGCCGACGTGGACGAGTGGAAGAGACAGACCATCACCAAACAGCTGGAGAAATGGATGGAGGAGAACTACAGGTCTGAACCAGGACTGAACCAGGACTGAACCAGGACTGAGCCAGGACTAAAGCAGGACTCAACCAGGACTGAACCAGGACTCAACCAGGACTCAACCAAGGCTGAACCAGGACTCAACCAGGACTCAACCAAGGCTGAACCAGGACTAAAGCAGGACTAAAGCAGGACTAAAGCAGGAGTGAACTGGGACTTGAGCTTTCTACCATGTTGTTCCTTCATCAGAAACCTGTCTGAAGAGGTTTTAGAGTCATGCATATTTGAATCATTTAGCAATCTCTCCTGGGACCTATTCAGACCCTCTTTACAGTTAGCAGTACGAGTCTGTACAAGGCTCCACCCACAAACCTACATCACCCATGCTCCCACACGACAACTCTCCATAAATATAGAAACACATGATACAAAACTGTACACAGTAACTTGACAAACCTGATGTGATGTGCAGGAGTTTCATTAGCGGGGCACACTGACTGTGTTGTGATGGCGCTCTGAAGGGGGAGTGACTTAGGAGATAGGAGCAAATTGGAGGGGACAAAAGAGAAACTTCTAAAACATGTTAATATGTTTTGGAGAATATACTCCTCTTTAATACCCCATAGAAGTGTAATACTCCTCTTTAATACCCCATAGAAGTGTAATACTCCTCTTTAATACCCCATAGAAGTGTAATACCCTCTTTAATACCCCATAGAAGTGTAATACCCTCTTTAATACCCCATAGAAGTGTAATGCCCCTCTTTAATACCCCACAGAAGTGTAATACCCCTCTTTAATACCCCATAGAAGTGTAATACTCCTCTTTAATACCCCACAGAAGTGTAATACCCTCTTTAATACCCCACAGAAGTGTAATACCCTCTTTAATACCCCATAGAAGTGTAATACTCCTCTTTAATACCCCATAGAAGTGTAATACTCCTCTTTAATACCCCATAGAAGTGTAATACCCCTCTTTAATACCCCATAGAAGTTTAATACTCCTCTTTAATACCCCATAGAAGTGTAATACCCTCTTTAATACCCCATAGAAGTGTAATACCCCTCTTTAATACCCCATAGAAGTGTAATACCTCCTCTTTAATACCCCATAGAAGTGTAATGCCTCTCTTTAATACCCCATAGAAGTGTAATACTCCTCTTTAATACCCCATAGAAGTGTAATACTCCTCTTTAATACCCCATAGAAGTGTAATACCCTCTTTAATACCCCATAGAAGTGTAATACTCCTCTTTAATACCCCATAGAAGTGTAATACTCCTCTTTAATACCCCATAGAAGTGTAATACCCTCTTTAATACCCCATAGAAGTGTAATGCCCCTCTTTAATACCCCATAGAAGTGTAATGCCCCTCTTTAATACCCCACAGAAGTGTAATGCCCCTCTTTAATACCCCATAGAAGTGTAATACTCCTCTTTAATACCCCACAGAAGTGTAATACCCTCTTTAATACCCCACAGAAGTGTAATACCCTCTTTAATACCCCATAGAAGTGTAATACCCCTCTTTAATACCCCATAGAAGTGTAATACCCCTCTTTAATACCCCATAGAAGTGTAATGCCTCTCTTTAATACCCCACAGAAGTGTAATACTCCTCTTTAATACCCCACAGAAGTGTAATACCCTCTTTAATACCCCATAGAAGGGTAATACCCTCTTTAATACCCCATAGAAGTGTAATACTCCTCTTTAATACCCCATAGAAGTGTAATACCCCTCTTTAATACCCCATAGAAGTGTAATACTCCTCTTTAATACCCCACAGAAGTGTAATACCCTCTTTAATACCCCATAGAAGGGTAATACCCTCTTTAATACCCCATAGAAGGGTAATACCCTCTTTAATACCCCATAGAAGGTAATACCCTCTTTAATACCCCATAGAAGTGTAATACCCCTCTTTAATACCCCATAGAAGTGTAGTCCTGTTTCACATGAGGCCCGTGCACATTGACCCTGTGTGTGTGTCCAGGCGTGACCTGTACAGCAGCGCTCTGGTGGGGGGCGTGGCCACTCCCCCTCTGCTCATCGTCTTCCACCAGAAATACACCAAACTGGACCCACTGTGGCACGTCCGACATCTGGGTAAGACCTGGACTGAACCTGGACTAAACCTGGACTAAACCAAGACTAAACCAAGACTAAACCAAGACTAAACCAAGACTAAACCTGGACTGAACCTGGACTAAACCTGGACTGAACCTGGACTAAACCAAAACTAAACCTGGACTGAGCCTAGTCTAAGCCTAGACTAAACCTGGACTAAGATTTGTCTAAACCCAAACTAAACCTTCTCTAAACCTGAAGTAAACTTGGTCTAAACTTTGACTAAACATGAACTAAACATGGACTATACATGGACTAAATATGGACTGAACCTGGACTGCACCTGGACTATACCTGGACTGAACCTGAAGTGAACATGGTCTAAAACAGAACTAAACCTGGACTAAACCTCATCTAAACCTGGACTAAACCTAGGCTAAACCTGGATTAAACGTGAACTAAACCTGATCTAAACCTAGATTAAGACTGGACTAATCCTAGACTAAACCTGAACTAAACCTGGACTAAACCTGAGTTAAACCTGGTCTAAACCTCAACTAAACCTTGACTAGTCCTGGACTAAACCTGAATTAAACCTGGTCTAAACCTGGACTAAACCTGGTCTAAACCTGGACTAAACCTGGATTAAACCTAGTCTAAACCTAGACTAAACTTGGTCTAAAGCTAGACTAAACCTTGACTAATCCTGGACTAAACCTGGACTAAACCTGAATTAACCTGGTCTAAACCTGGACTAAACCTGGTCCAAATCTGGACCAAACCTAATCTAAACATGGACTAAGACTTGTCTAAACCTGAACTAAACTTGGTCTAAACCTAGACTAAACCCTGACTAAACCTGGATTAAACCTGGACTAAACTTGGACTAAGCCTGGTCTAAACTTGGACTAAACCTGGACTAAACCTGGACTAAAACAAGATTTAGTGGCAGCCGCTGTAGGGCTGTAGAAAAGACTGCGCCCTTTGCTGTCAGAATATAAACGCCACATCAGTTCCACAGTTACATTTACTTGAGTAACTTTTTAAAAGTACTTTTCAGAGAACTTTTCTAGCAGCATGCTTTTACTTCTTCTTGAGTAATAATTATATTGAAGTAACAGTACTCGTACTTGAGTAACAGCTGCACTTCCTCTTCCCACGGTGACATTATTAAGTGACAAAAGCTTCATGTGACAATCTGAAATGATTAGAACATTTGTGTTTGTTGCAGCTCCTTCAAATTTAATTTCTGATTTAATTTGTCTCATTTTTGGGTCTGTTTGAAAACACCAGATTTTGGGACTTATTTCATGATTTGTCCTTTAAATTAAATCAGATATTACATTTGGACAGTTACTCTCTAACTTGCTTTTACTTGAGTAGAACTTTTCCCTAATACTTTTTTTAACTCTCGACTGTTACCACTTTGTACTTCTACTCGAGTTATATTATTTTGAAGTAACGTTACTTTAACTTGAGGACATTTTTTGGCTGTACCTCTGAGTTTTAGTTTTATGTCACTGGAGTCTTTTTGTTGTTGATTTACTAAACAAAACCAACGAAAAAATATCAAATATGGCTCTGAAAGTGTGACAGCGCCCCCTTGTGTTTCCAGGCTTCAGTCCTGACTCGTACTATGCGGAGAGTTACCTGCAGGGGGCGCAGCTGCTGCACTGGAACGGCCCCTTCAAACCGTGGACGTACCCGGCGGTCCACTCTGACCTGTGGGAGAGATGGTTCGTCCCTGACCCCTCCAGAAGGTTCAAACTGGTACGACCCAAAGCGGGAGAGGAGGAAGAGGAGGAGGAGGAGGAGGAGCGCTGAAGACTGGAACAGGCTGAGAACAAAGCAAAGGACTCAAGGGACTATGGAAATGTGACAAGTCTATAAAGGTGCACTGTGTCACTTTGTGGTTGGGCGGACCGTCACCTGCTTGTTTCCATGGAGATGTCATCGCTCTGCTTGAAATGTTCCAACGTGTGACATTTAACAGCTCTACTTGACATTTACATTTACAGATGGTTTTATAGCTCAAAAATACTGACTAAACCTGGACTAAACCTGGACTAAACCAGGACCAAGCCTGGATTAAACCTGGACTAAACCTGGACTAGACCTCGACTGAACCTGGACTAAACCTGAACTAAACCGTGACTAAACCTGGACCAAACCTGAACTAAACCTGGACTAAACCTGGATTAAACATGGACTAAACTGCGACTAAACCTGGACTAAACATGGACCGAACCTGGACTAAACCTGGACTGAACATGGACTGAACCTGGACTGAACATGGACTGAACCTGGACTAAACCTGTACTAAGATTGAACTAAGCCTGGACTAAATCACAACTAAACCGCAACTAAATCTTGACTGAACCTGGACTAAACCTGAACTAAACCTGGATTAAACATGGACTAAACTGTGACTAAACCTGGACTAAACATAGACTAAACCTGGACTAAACCTGAACTAAACATGAACTAAGCCTGGACTAAACCTCGACTAAGCCTGGACTAAACCTGGACTAAACCTGGACTAAGCCTGGACTAAGCCTGTACTAAACCTGGACTGAACTTGGATTAAACCTGGGCTAGAATAGGTCTAAACCTGGACTAAACCTGGACTAAACCTGAACTAAACATGGGCTAAATCTGGACAAAACATGGACTGAATCTGGACTAAACCTAGATTACAACAGGACTAAACCTGGACTAAACCATTCCTAAGTGCAACTAAACTGCAACTAAACCTGGACTGAACCTGGACTAAATCTGTAACTGTACTGTGACTTGGTCTGGTTTGGTCTCCATGAAAATAAAAAGGTTTAATGCCATACTGTGAAACATTCCAGACAAAGCAATAACATCCCCATGGAGAAAAAACATTTGATGGGCCCTCCACCAGAAAAGTTACATAATGCATCTTTAAAGTGCGAATGCCAGGTTTCATTTTTTTCAAATGTTTTCTTTTTCCTTTTCTGCTGGAGGGTTTTTCTTGCTTTCTTTCTTGTTTTTCTCCATGGAGATGTCATTGCTTTGTCTGGAATGTTCCACAGTATAGACGAGTTTCATTGTTGACAAAAGCGTGCGTTGCATGCTGGGAATTATTTTGGTCGGCGGCAAGAAACACTAATTCAACATGACGGACGGAGTGAGAAAGCACGTAAAGGGTATTGATCCTGGTTATTTATCCACTCTAACGGCAGAGGACCCAAGACCATTTGACCAGAAATTGTTCATAAGCATCGACAGACGCCAAATCACCCTTTTCAACCCCGACAAAAAGTGGACCAAACCAAATTTCTGGTCTGAATCACCAACTACCTGGACAAATATTCACTTTGGTGATATCCACAATGACTTGGTGGAAACTCCTGGGCCATTCACAGCAGAAAAGATGAAAACCTCCAAGAGTCTGGATGTGTTGTTGAACTTGTTGGAGTCCACGGTTTGTTAGGATCTTCTACGTTTGCTCTGCGGATGTTTGAAAGACGTTTAATTCACCGTTAGTGGTTCTTTTCACTCAGAATACGAAAAAGACATTTTCCTTCTTCTGTGCTTCTATTTGTGCATCCGATAATGCAGCAGGAATTTATCATTATCGAGGATAAATATGCGAGGTTACGCACTGTGTTTGACCGCTATTGTGTTTCTTGCCTCCGACCAAAATATTTCCCAGCATGCAACGCGGGCTTTTAATAACAATGACGTCATCTGAAACTCGCCTATGGCATTAAACCTTTCTATCTTCATGGAGACCAAACCAGTGCGAGTTACAGGTCAAATCTATGGAGAGGCGACCCCGCTCACAGTCAGAATGTCTCACAGTCACAATGTCTGTTTTTATAGATTGACAGGTGGATCAGCCAATCAGAGACAAGCATGGTCCATTGTGTCAAAACAAACATGGCTGCTTATGAGGAAAAAAGCAAAAAATATCACAGAGGACTGAAAAACTGGAAGGATTTCTGCAGAATCAATGAAGCAAGAGAAATATTGTTTTGTTCAAAATGATGACGACCAGTGAGCGCCTTCGTTTCACATGTGTTACTGAAATAAACAGATTTGATTGGACACTCCTGTCTGCTTCTGTGTGGAGGACGAGGAGACCAGACTGACGTCCCTCTGGATAAAACAAACAAACTGATGAGTCTGGATTTGCTGCCTTTGTACAAGCACATTTTTCTGACTGAGTAAATAAAGATTTAACAAAATGAAAGTGTTGTACTGTATTTTTATCAGTCTATCTAACTATTATGTGAATAAAATAAAAAAAATTGGCCCTTGTTTACATTACAGTTGTGTCTCAGCCCTGGCCGTTCTTTGCCGTTCATTTTCCTGCCGCTCTCCTCTGTCTCTCCAGGTGTCCTCACGTCCCTCAGCTGCCTGGCTCGGCCTTGACTGCACAATTTTTCACACATTTTTGGGATGACATAAAACACTTATTACATAAAATCTTTTTAGATTGTACAGAGCAGGGACAACTCTCTCCTACTATAAAAACAGGTTTCATTACTTTCATACCAAACCTGATAAAAATGCACTAATATTTTGGAGGACACTCACATTATTATACACAGACTATGAAATAATGGCTTTCATTTTTGCTAATCCACTTAAACAAATGATCAACAAACTATTTGGAGAAAATCAATCTGCATTCATCAAAGGTAGATTTATCCACATAACCATAAGAGGCTGAGTGCTGACATGTTAGACGATCAGCACCTTATACAATTACAAAGATTTATCCTATTCTTTGATTTCGTCAAAGCTTTTGACAGTGTTGAGCACAAAGTAAAAAAAAAAAAAGGCTTTGGCGAACACTTTTGAAAAACCATTCAAATGTTTTAATCCAATATAAACAGCTAAATCTCCTTCCACCCAGATATAATGCCACAAATCAAAGTGGTGGAAAGTCGGCAAGGATGTGCTGTTTCTCCTCAGCTGTTCATAATCTGTACGCAAATGTTATTTATTTAACTCTAAACCATCCCCAAATTAAAGGAATTATCTTATTTGAATATGAATAAGAATATGAATAATTTGCAGATGATGCTGCAGTGTTCTTAAAAAAACTAATTTGTATTAAACAAAACAAAACAATTTAATTTCATTGTTTTCTAAGGCATCTGGCTTAAACCGGAAAAAAGTGAATAAGTAAGTCTTTATTTATATAGCGCATTTCACAGACATTTCTGTCCCCAAAGACACTTTACAGAGCATTATTCAGCATTATTCATTCCCTCTAAACCTGGTGATGTTAAGCCACTATTGTAGCCACAGCTGTCCTGGGGCAGACTGACAGAAGCACAGCTGCCATGCCACTCGGCAACATCAGTCCCTCTGACCACCACCATCACTCACACACACACACAACTTTCATATTAGGCAATGTGGGTGAAGTGTCTTGCCTAATGATTGACACAATGATTGAATTGATTGTATTTAACTGACCTTGACTATCAACTGTTCTGGAGACCTGGAGCATGTTTTGTGTTGATGGGGGAAACCAGAGCACCCAGAGGAAACCCACCCAGACACTGGGAGAAACATGCAAACTCCACACAGAAAGGCCCGGGCGACCCAGGGATCAAACCCCGTACCTTCTTGCTGTGAGGCATGAGTGCTAGCCACTCAGCCACTGTGCCGAAAAAATGTGAATTATTCCTGCTATTCAGTTGTACTGAGGCCAGTCTGGAGTCTGTCCTATTTAAAACTGAAATGAAATACTGAGGTCTAATCTTAACAAAGGACCCAAACAGAATGGAACAATGTAACCTAGAATCCAAAATAAATACAATGGGCAAATCACTGAATTATTGTCTGTCAAGAGATCTTTCAATTTTAGCTAGAATCTAATTATCGAAAGCAGAAGGATAATCTAAAATAAAATGATTTACCCGCGTCAGTCTCTACATCTCCCATCAAATGGTCAAAAAAAGTAAAAGTGTATTATTCAATTTTGTATGGAAAAACAAAACATTATCTAAAAAAATATAATAATAATAATGAAAAACTGTAATGAAGGTGGGTTACGTGCGTTGGAATTTGAAAGGTTTCTTGGAAACCTTAAACTAAACCGGTTAAAAGCATTTCTGTTACAGCCTGACTTTAGATAGACAGATTTTAAAATGAAATGTGATTTTAAAATCGACTAAATCAATTAAAATGAAACTCTTAAACTTTTAGACAGGTTTTAGCAGACTGAAGATGATATTTACTCACCATTTTACTCCACACAGCTCCACCTGCTGGAATAATAGAACCATCACAACAAAGAGGAAGAGTGTTTTTTATAAAAGACTGCTCTGATAAAAAATGTTTTATTTGTAAAAGATCTAAAGGACAAATTTGGTAATTTTCTTTTGAAACATTTAGCACAAAATATAATATTGTCTGCTCCCCCAGAATGCTCCTAGAATAAATAAAGTCATTCCTTTTCACCATAAAAACATGATCCAAAACACTGATGCACTCTAATGTTCTGATTCAATTAGCAGAGTTAAAAATAATGAAATATCTGTTAATGAGAGGAAATGTACTAATGAGGTGATGGGAAAGGAACTAAAAGGCAAATTGTTGTCAGATTTTATACAACTCCATAACAGATTGAAATAATTGAACCTAGAATTAAAGTGGAAAACAAACATTATAAAAATTCTAAAATGGCTGGTCCTGCCTAAAAAAGAGAGATGTGATTCAAAATCTTAAAGAACATACTGTACATCCGTCTGCTGAAACACTGAGGAAGAGTCAGCTTGGAAGTTGAGCCGTGTCTTGTATGTTTGTTATTATTAATAAAAGTTTTTAAAAAAGCT